GATCAACTTATCTGCAGTCCTGCTGATGATGCTACCAGTTGCCTTGCTCTTAGAACCTTTGGACTGTGATTCTGCATTATGCTACTAGACTCTGGACTTTGATTTTGGACTATAATCTTTGCTGGGAGACCTGCTGCAGCCTGGGATTTGCCTCCAACCTGGTGAGCAGCTCCGGAGATGAATCAGTGAGATCTCTGCAGGAAGGGATGTTGCAAAAATAAAAGAAGTGAGATGCAGGATAGCCCGTGAGAACCAGTGTAGTGTAGTGCTTAGACTAGGACTCGGGAGACAGAGGTGTGAATCCCTGTTCTGCTATGAAACTCACTGGGTGACCTTAGGTCAGGGACTCTCACAGTGACTCATGAAAGCTCCTACCCTGCCAGATAGAAGAAGAAGAAGAGATTGGATTTATACCCCGTCCTTCACTTAGAGTCTCAGAGCGGCTTACGAACTCCTTTCCCTTCCCCTCCCCATAACAGACACCCTGTGAGGTGGGTGGGGCTGAGAGAGCTCTGACACAAACTGCTCTTTTTCAAGGACAGCTGTGCCAGAGCTTGTGACTGACCCAAGGTCACATCAGCAGGTGCAAGTGGAGGAGTGGGGAATCAAACCCAGTTCTCCTAGATTAGAGTCCGCGCACTTAACCACTACACCAAACTGGCTCTCACATATTTTGTTAGTCTTTAAGGTGCTACTGGACTCTCGTTCTTTTCTAGTCTAACCCAATCACAGGGTCATTGTGAGGATAAAGGAACAAAACAATGTATACTACCTTGAGCGCCTTGGAGGAAGAGCGGTGTTATGTACGTGGACCGCCTCCAGGGGTCCGCGGACAGGCCAGAGCTTGGATCCGAAAACAAAGGAAACTTCAGATCCTGGATTCCCCAGCCCCAACCAAGAGCCACCTTGGCGGGACATTCAAACCCTCCAATGGGAGTGGGGGGGGGTGGCTGGTGGATATGTATATAGTTGGTCCTGTGGGCTGTTAGAGTTAGTCTTTGTCTATGTGAAGTACAATAAACGTGTGCTACAGCATGTCATTGTCCGAGTCCTCCATGCGGCGAACCCAGTACTTTTCAGTGGCGACGAGGATGGGCTAACCAGGAAGTAAATGAAGGCTCTTCAAAAGCACAGTTGGTGTAAAATGTGGACTTCTGGGAATAAATGACTCTTAATTGCTCTAGGTTCTTTCCTGGCTTTCCATATATTCTGAAGAAAAGTTCTGAGGGAATTTACAAGGAAGAAGCAGCCAATGGCCACGTTAAGTTTTCTGCCATGCGTAGTTTCCCTGGCAACCCACATCCCAATGCCAACTCCAAAAGTGCATTTGGATTTTCCTGAGACAAAAATTTTGGCATCCAAAAAGTATGTGGGATTTTTCAGGAAAACTGGGGTGGGGGGTGGGGGAGAGATCCAAAGAAAATTCTGGATATTTTTGGAACTGGGAAGATCAGGGACACAGCTGAGAGGCTGGGAGACTGCTCCCTACCTAATCAGCTGTTTCCCCCCACTTCTTCTGCAGTCTCTTTAAACCAGGCTGGTTTAAAGGGGACTGCAGAAAAAAATCAGGGAAAACAGCTGAGAGGTGGGAGTTGCCCCTAAGCAATTTTGCGGCTTTACTGCTTTTGGGTTGTTCTCCCCCGCACCCCTTGTTTTTTCCAGCTTGGATCTATTGGAGCTGAAAAATGCAGGATTTCCAAAAAGAATCCTGGATGTGAATACTTTGCTAGTATTGGGATTTGGGATGTTTTGGAAATCCTGAGTTTTTGGGGGGCCCAATAGACCCGGACCAGAAAAGAAAAACTGCACACCCCTATACACTGGCAGTGTTGAGTAGGGAAAAGAGTTCAGGCAAAGGAAGGCACAGATGATAAGTGGAT